AAATGGAACACCATACGAAGATGTGGTGGCAGAAGCAACCAGCGAATCAAATGGGAAACATTGTCTTTGCTGGACTCGAGAGCGAAATTTGCAAACAATATCGCATGACGGTTTGAACAGATGCCGGTGATGACCACTGATGTGGAAACCGAGTGTAAATTTTATAAGAGCGGCCTAATCAGGGCTGACGCTAAACGCTGCGGTTCAAAACGGGTATAGATGCCACCTGAGGGTTAGAAACGATAGTTGGACACAAGAGATTTTATTGGCTGTCAACCAGAAGAACGCTGGATTCAATACGTGGCTTGGAGGCAAAGAGCCATCTAGTCGCCATATTTTGATTGCATGTGCAGCGCCAGAGAAATGACATTATACCGAAGTCTTTCAGCATCAGCATTGGTCTCCGCCAAGACTGCTTTATGTCCCCCTCTACTGCTTTTGTTGTACGTGTATAGGACAGTCAGGGCGCAGTGTATCAGCTTAGGAGATGTGGAGACAAAAAAACTGCTGTTTGCAAACGACCTGGTTTTGTTGTTATCCTTGAAACTGATCTCCACTCCTCTCTGGAAAGGATCGCAGGCGAGTGAGACGTGTCCATTTACTTGTGAACGGCTAAACCCAAAGAGTTAGTGCTTTCTCGTTCCCTTACCGGTTGTTTTTTGGACATAGACAGAAGTAGAAAGTAGTGAAACAGGTGGAGAAGTTCACAGAAGTTAACCTACCTCGAGTCGTGAGGTGGTGATGGAAATTGAAAGGAAAAGTTTAACAGGCTAATTGAAATCGTCAATGACATTCTGCACGAACAATTTTGAACCGTTGGATTAAAGCACAGCTGAGTCTAAGGACTAAGCTGTCTGAGTTCAAGTAAGTTTTCATCCCTGTATTCACGTATGGTCATGAATCGTAGACCACAGTTAAAAAACTTTGATCTACGGTGCAAGCGGCTGAAATGGGTTATCTGAATCGTTAGGCTCAAGCGTCTTGTCAAGGCCTAGAGTACCATATTCGAGAGTGTACAACCGTTGCTTGTTCGGACTGAGAAGTCACAACTGTGATGGTTTGGGCACATATTGCGAAAGTCCAGATGAAGCAACT